TATATTAGTGACAGCTCATTATGATATTTGTAAATTTTTTTTTATTTTTTAATGTGAACTAACCTAATAACCTAATAATCTATAGATATGTATGTATATTTGGTTTTCCTTGAAAGGTACTTTAAAATGTTACTATATTTACATAGTTAAGGTCGTGAGATATTTTTGAATTTGTAATTTTTCTTTTTTTTTGTATATTAGGCTTGCCTACTTAATAAATAAATACAATACAGTTCTCAGCTGTTTTGCAGAGCAAGGAGCCCGAGAAGTGGGGATCACGTGATGTTTGTAAGCGCAAAGAAGTTGCGCAGAAGTATAATCATGACTGAGAAAATACATTTTTTTTACTAACAAGCCGATTATTATTAAAAATACAAGATACGTAAAAATCATAAAAAATAGAGCACATTCAGTACTTTCATAAATATATTCGTGATTTAGGCACTCGAAAACATAAAAATTTGCAAAAATATCCAGGGCAACACAAAAAACTTTTTTTTTGTAGAGCTGTGTTATCTTTCAAAAACAATTATTTAATTATTGCTCGATAGTCGATTTTGTCCATTTTCATTAAAACACTCATATGAACTCACTCAAACGACTGTTAATAACAACTGGGCGTCCAAAATGGCTGAAAATTTGGCGAATAACTGTCAACAGATGAACAACGAAATTCACTAGCTTTTATTTAAAAGTTGAGGTTGGAAACTTTTAAGACCACCCTCGTACAAGTAACGTGTTAAATGAGACCATACGATACTGACATGTTAACGTTAGAAGCAATATACTCAAATAAATATTTGAAAATTTGGATAACTCATTTTTAAAACTCTTGAATAAAATTTGGTGAAGATTCGCTTTTACTTAAAGAAACACCACAGAAACCTCACCTTTGATAACGGCTTCCTTCTTGTGGAGTTCGTCCGTAAGAGCGGCTATCTGAGTTCTGAGACCTTCGATGTGGGTATCTTCGAAATGAACCCTTTTATGAGACACCTCCGTTGAATTCCTCGCGTGGATCTGCGAGTGGGCGAAACCCGGGCCGTTTATCGCCGATATTTCCGGTTCGAGAACCGTTTCCTCGGTGGTTCTTTTCTGCATCAGCGCGTTCGGACTCCGCTCAAGGTTGTAGCTGTCACTTCGACTCTCCATCCTGCGCATCTGGTCGAATTGACTCATTTCAATGATGCTGAACAGCTCCTCAATGCTCGTACCGCTGTTCTTCATATTCGAAAGGGTTTGCAACTCGTTTCTGTCCAAATTGAGAGATGTATACGCTTCCAACAACTTCTCCGTGTCATCGAGCTTACTGCGAAGCTTCTCGATGTCGACGTTCTTGTCCGAGATGATATTCTCGACCAAGTTGGGCACCATCCTCGCGTCTTTGCTCATCTTGCTCTTCAGCTGCTCGTTCTCGGCTCGCAGTCCCTCGATTTCCTTCTGCATCTCGACGACGATCTCGTCGTCCTTGGCCGAGCTCAACTCTTCTTCGACCAGCCGCGCCCTCTTCCTCGTTTCCTCTAATAGCGTCTGCTGCTGGTGCAGGGCCTTCTCCTTCTGCTGCAACTTTTCGCGGAGAGACGCGGTCTCGGCCTGCAGGTCGTAGATCTTCAGCTCGAGCGACGTGTTGGTCTGCTTCTCGATGTGCTCCGCCCTGATTCGCTGCTCGTCTAGTCTGATCTGGAAGTCGGAGATGAGCACCAGCTGCTCCTGGATCTGCTTCTTCAGGTACTCCTTTTCGCTACCGGATTCCTGAAATCGGGAACACTCACTAGGGGTGCTTTTCATAGACAATAGTTGTAAGAGCAAGAAAAAATAAATATACAAACTGTTCCGACGATGTATAGAAAATAGATTGGCTGATGATGAAGGCAGATGGATAGTGAAAAATGTACACACTATGAACAAATTGATAGAGTCGCCATGAGAAGTGCTCCCAGCACTGTGATTGCAAATTTCTACTTGTTTTAAAAAAAAAAGTGCTTAGCCCCACTCTATCAAAACCTTTCTGTTGGTTTTGCTACATTGATGAGACTTTTGTTATTCAGAGCCGCGGATAACAAGTATTAAAACAGTTTATACAGTTTCATCCTCTCATCCAGTTTAACAGTTGTCTCTACAGAAAAAAATACGGAAAACTAGGCTACGATGAAAACTCTTGTTGATCGTGCCATCAGAATTTGTAAGCCACACCGTCTTGAAGAAGAACTTTGTCATTTAAACCATGCTTTACAGGCCGATGAGTTCACAAAGCATCTCAGAAGAAATACTCCAACTTGGACCAGTGGTAGACAAAGTCTTGTCTTACATGAACAAAGTCACGGATCGAATTAGAAAATAACATTGGGACCATTCACAAACTGAATAATCAAATATGCAAAACTTTCAGATCGTCCAAGAACAAAAGAGAGCCTCTGTGTTTACGTGATTCCCTGTCGCTCAGTTTATATCAGAACTACCAAACGCAGAACATAAACAAACTCAAACTGAATACCACTAAAACGAAAGCTATGATGTTGACAACACAATATAAATATAACTTAATTGATATTAACTCCATTAATATCGAGATCTACGACGAAACTATAGAAATTGTGAAAGAATTCAAATACCTAGGCTTCATTGTTGATAACACTTTGAACTTAAAAAAATACTTAAAGTATATGTGTAATAAAATTTCCAAAAAATTGTTTTTCTTTACAAGAATTAGTAGACAACGAACATTCCAATGTAGTTTGACTGTTTATAAAACAATAATCCTACCACACTTTGATTACTGTGCTACTTTGATATCATTGCTAGACGGTAATTCTATCTCTACTCTACAAAAATTACAAAACAGAGGAATGCACTTGTTATTAAAATGCCATAAATATACTCCTATATTATCAACGATTAATATTCTGAATTGGATGACAGTAAAAGATAGATTACAATATTTTTCTATGATATTCATATTCAAAATACTCACTGGAAACGCACCACATTACTTCAATGAGTTTATTACATATAACCATCAGATACACAAATACGATACAAGAGGAAGAGATGACTTGGTTGTCCCACGAACTAACCTTGCAAGAACAATGAATTCTATTTTTCACAGAGGACTCTTGGACTATAACAAGCATCCTAATGAAATTAAACAAAGTAACACCCTTCAACTCTTCAAACGCTCCATATCTCAATATCTACGGGCACAATACTATTCCAATTGAGTTGTACATCATTCTTCTCTCTATTAATCTCTTCATCATCTACTACTGTTATGTTTTACCCAATATATAGGGTCTTATATATTTCTTTTTTTTTTTTTTCAATTTTTTTTGTAATTCTGTTTAATAACTGATATACCTATTTGTATAATATTTATGTATATTAGGATATCTATTTCAAATAAATCTATTTCTATCAACATCAGGATATAAGAACAGAAGTGTAGCTACCGCCTTATGGAACCAGAGAAATCCGAATTTGAGGAACATGTCCTAGCTGTAAGAGACAACGTAAGAAACTGTTGTCCCGTCTAATTCAACACATCAACACTCACAACTTCATAGGAAAGGCATTGATATCTATAAGCATCCCAATAATTTCAAAAAGGAGTACGGGTCAACAGAATGTGGTATCCAGAACTCAATAAGGCCAGAAATGGACAAGAATACAACTCCAAGCGAAATCTTACCAGAATCATACATTTCAACAAACTAGCAAAAGTGTGGACCAATCAGAAGTAAAGATTCACGTAGAGAAACATCCACCACCACCATCATCCCCACCATCTTCTAAAATTATAAATACGAGTGAACATGGAGCTTGCCGGTCAGTTGTTACTGCGACATCGAGATATAACATTCATGGCTGCCGTAGTAGCAGATGAAACATTTGATTCCATTCGATTTTAAATTACGGTCTTGTCGTTACTTCTTTTGTAAATTGTTTTGATTTCTTCATATTGGTTTCATTTTTTCTGTTTGATTATTGTCACTGATGATGGGGGTTATTTCAAATGAAACGCTATAAAAATATCAACTGTGATATACCCTTGACAATATCTGTCATAAAAGACAGATCCGTATTTTAAGTAAAAAGTTGATGGTGGCCATGTCGACACGAAACGTTTTATCGAACATTTATTATTACATCGTCATAGTACACTAAAAAAAAATCTGTTTAAAATCTATTTTTCCGTTTTTCAGCTTCGAAAACAATCACATTTTCCTTTTTTGATATACTCCGAAATAACAATTCCATTTGAAAAAAAAATATTGTAGCAGAACAACAACAAAAAATCTAACCAACTCTCTACAATCTGTCACTTCAAACTAACCTCCACCTCTTGCCTAAGACTGAAAACTTGCATTTCGAGGTCCTTGATCCGTTTGATAGCGGCATCTTCAGCTCTGGAGTGACGCAGCAGTTTTTCCTTGAGTCTCGCGAGTTGCTGGAGTGGCACGTCGCTGTCGTCCATCTTTTTCGGGCTCCTAGGTACAATCTGAGAAAAAAACTGAAGTAGAAGCATCCCTTTACATCGACAGAGACGGTATTCAAGCAGACTTACCAAGTCTCTAGCAGAAACGTCTTCGGAAGGAGAGCTGCAATTTGTTCCAGTTGTGAAGTGAAGTGCTTCCAACTCTTTGGTTTTTATGTCCATCAGAAATTCTATCTCATACAGCTGTGAATTCGAAAAAGAAAATTAGAGGTGATATGAATAACTCATGATAAAAATAGTTCAAAAACAGATGAATGTTCATTTTTCTCAAAAAATATTTACATATTCATCAAATGCTATTTTGTTCCCTCTAAAGTAGTCCCCTTCAGGTATAATACACTTGTGCCGGAGTTTTTTCCAATCCTGAGCATTCAAAATAGCAAGCTTCACAAACTATTGAATAATCCTCTGTCAAAAAGTAAGTTTCAGGAGGAATTGCATTTCATCAAACAAATCGCTGTCAACAACGGTTACAAGATAGATATTATCGATCTCGTTTTTCTCAAAAACACTGTGAAAACAAGCCATTTTCCAAGTCTATTCCACAACACTCGTTTTTTGAAAAAGAAAGACGTGGATACGTGGTTCTTGCCTAAAACTTCATTTTGGCCAAACGTGGAGAACCTTTTGCCAAATAATAAAAGACTATAGAAGTAGATTCATGAATGTGAAGACCAATTCAACATTATTTGCAAACTAGCAGACCACTATTATAATATTCATGCAGTCATTGTTCACTGTGGTTCTGGCGTTGAATTTGGTCATTATTACGTCTTGGTCAAAGAAGAAACGGACTGGTTTAAGTTTGACGATAGTCGTGTCACGAAGTGTTCTGGCGATGCATTGAATTTATTGGAGCCTCTGGAGACACCCTACATTTTGTTTTATACGAGAGAGGACATTGTTAGATCAAGATCTTCAGATTATGTGGTGCTGCAGGTTTTTCCGGGTTTTCCTGCAGCTGAAAAAGCAAATGCGCCAATGGAATCAATGAAGTGTTGTTTTTATTTTATTTTTATCGTTGTTTTAATAAAACTTTCACATTTGAAATCTATGCAAGTAGGTTAAATTAGTTAAAATTGTTAAATCTATATATTTGTACAAGTAAAACAAAGTAATTATACAATAATACATAGAGTTGTAGAAATTCTTCAGTAGAATAAAATGCATTTTTTGTAAGGTAGTCAAGTAAAGCACTTTGGAATTTCATTTAATGTTTTTTAAACTATTTTCGTTTTATTACTATTTAAATATTTCTTTTTCAGAGTCTAAATTTTATTGTGAAAACTAATTTTGTTAAAAACCCTAATCTAAGTATTACAATACATAATGAAATTTGGAACAATCATGAAATACAAATCAATTCGGAGAACTAACATTATTGAAAAAAAAAGGAAAGGAGAGAAAAAAATCACCAAAGGTGCTGTTTCGTTCCCTCCTGTTCATAAAAGAGGACATATGCCTCATCACTCACAAGTGATTTTGGCGAAATTGGGAACACGTGTGAATCGTTGTATTCATGCCACGTGCCACTGTATGGATGTCTGCAATAAGCTGTGTAATGCCCGTTGTAAGTAGTCCCACTGTGATTTGAAAGTGCATATAGATTATAACGACATGGAGCTACATTGTCTGCTGCATAATTGCTTTGGAATTTAGTGAATTTACATACGTTTCCAAATAGCTGAAGTGCTATATTATTTATAGCAGATGATACCCTGATAACTTGAGGAGCCCCGACCAAGAGCCAGTCGTGAGTAGGGTAATCGCAGTTCATTACCATTCCCAGTAAGATGTTTATGTATCATGTTATTTTTAATGTAGCTTGATTTATTTTTCTTGATATTCATTGTTTTGATGAAGATATACAGTGAAGGCAATGTTAAGAGTGACAGTTCAGTAAAGGTATTTCTACAGTAAAGGTATTCTCTGTGACGTAGACCTGCCATACATCTTATTATCCTTTTTTGCACTACCCTAATTGTGAATATGTTGGTAATTTCCGCCAAAACGTATTTTTATCTACCTAGTCATACATAAGTCTTACATAAGTAAAAAAAGAGGTAAACAAAAAAACCAACCTGCGAACGTACTTGCTTCAAAGCGCCTTCGCTGCCCGCCAACTCAGCTTGCACCCTGACCTTCTGCAGCTCGTTCTCCAAATGCTCGATGTGCCTGCACAGCTCCCCGACATCTGAAACATCTTTCGATAAGTCACCTTGTTCAATTTCCGCGTCGGACCTTTCGTGCTGCTCGAGCATACATTGCAACTTTTCGATGGTCTGCAAGTGTTCCTCGATCTCTTTCGACTTGGATTCAGTTTGGAACTCCAGCTCGCGGATGATGTCGCGCAACACTTTGATCTTGTCTACGGCCTCGTTTCGATCCAATTCTGTGGCTCTGCAAGCTTCGGTTTGGTCGGAGAGGAGTTTCGTCATCTCCTGCAGTTGGTGCTCGAGCTGTTCCACCTACAGAGAAGATGAAATGAAATATGATTAACGCAAAAAGCAAATAGTCTTTCTCAGGAAGTTGTTATTTCCTTGCAGAGTTCAAAGTAGTGGAAAATGTTATCATTCGCTACCAAATGTTAAGTGCTTTTTCTAAAAAAACGCCATCTATGGACCACTACACAATCTATATCAATATTATATCAATATTATATTCCATTACGCAAAATAGAGCATGACAATACGTGGGTGATCCTAGAAGTACCTAGCCTAACAAAGAGAACAGAAAAATGTTGGAAAAAACTGTACTTTTTTCTCAACATAATCTCTTTGCAGCTCTGTAAACTTTTCCGTTCGATACCGTTTTTATAACTGTCGTGTTTCTGGTGACATCACTTCTTCATCGTTGGAAAATCTTTGACCACTGATCCGTTTTTTCGAGTTTGGGAACAGAAAATAATCCGAGGAGGCTGAATCTGGCAAATAGGGTACACTAGGTAGGAATTCAAACTTCAATTCGTTAATTTTGGTCATTTGGTTGGGCTGAGGCTTTTCAAATAAAAGTATTGTGCCACATAACGATGACCAATAGTCTCATTTTCACAAATTCGCAGAAAACGTTCGCTATTGATGGCTGCCAAACAAACACTAAACAACGCAGCGTCTTCAAACTCGAAAAATATGCTTTATAGATTGTTTACTTTCCAATACCGCCATCTCTAGGTCAGACCCGGTACTTTTGGGACCATTCTGGTATAATGAAACTGACAAAATTGGTGAATAATAAATAAAAATTAGTGGAAACAAAACAAGAGGAAGAGTATCTTTAGAAGTCGAAGGAAATGAATTTGCATATCAATTGAAAATGGTTACTTATAATCTATGTCCTGCTGGAAGAAAATCGGATGAAAGTGAAATTTCTTTTGGATAGTTATGAAAGTCCTTTTCAACATGTAGTGTATTATTTTAAATATTAGACTTACTGTTTCTAAAATAAAATAATCCTTCGATATTTCATTTGATCTGAAGATATATTTATAGTTGAGATTGTAATACATATTTGATATAGAATACCCAACCCAAAATAATATGAGGTTCCATTCCAAACACCTCTAATAGCATAACCCTTCAACACTAATTTTTTGTGAAAGTCTTTGACTATAATGAAATATATGTTCAAATTGGAACATTTTAAAGAAGATCTATTCTTGTGATATCTCTTCCAAATCATAACCACAATACTCGTTCGAAAGATCTAATCGTACCAAACGCTCATAGAACTTCTTTGTATGAAAAAAGCATAGAGTACAGTGGTTGTAAATTATACAATATGCTTCCAATAGCTCTTAAGAATTCCCCAGATATTTGTGCTCAAAAGTCAGCTGAAAAAAATGCCACTTCAAAGGACTTGTTACACCATTTAAGAATTCACCAATCAACTAACCTGAGATCTTGAGCTTTAGCACATTTGGTTGAAGTGTTTACTTTCAATACTTGAGAAATTGTGTGTTGATTATATTTTATTGGCTTTTTTATGGTCTATAACTAGTTACATTTATATTTTTATATTTATATGTTACTTTTATTACTTATGGATTTTTATCACCGTTTGTGTTATTGTGTTGTTTATACTATTTTGACTGACTTATAACATGGTTACATATTATTTGGACTCACTTTTATAATATATTTACATGTAGTTATTTACATTTATATGTTTTTATATTTACTTTTACTTTTATAATTGACATTTTCTTTTTTTATTGTGCATTGATTTCTGTTAACTGTACTTTTCAAGCAAATATTTTTTTTTGTTTTTTTTTGTGGTTTGAAGGCGTCGATTACGAGGTCATTGGCCTTCTACTATTAAGTATGTTCATCATTTGCTTTCTTGTTGAAATATTTGAGTATAGCCCAATAGCTTTCATAAATTTTATAATTCTATCCAGACTTTCATTATGATCTTTCAAACATGCCTTCATAGAATTTGGTATTTCAAATAAATATTATTATTAGTTGAACTCGGGATTTTTTCAGATAATAAACAGTTATAAACATAGAAAATGTCCCGAAAAGACATTGACGTTGCTAGACAAAACATTTCAAGGGTCTTTTCCAGCATTGTGAAAAAAGTCATAGGTTTTTCCATAGAAAGATCACAATGAGAAGTACAATTGATGCCCAAAAAATACTGTTACTGTTACTAATATTTCGTAGTGTCAACTACGAAATATTAGTAAAGAAAATGCTTTATGAAGAAGCGTTAAAGTAGCGGACAAAAGAGTAAGCATTATCGATAGAGTGTTCAATATCCAACACACTATACTAACATGTTGTTCACCCAATATACACAGCAAGAGATTAACAGACTATCACATCGCCCAGCTCTTGAACAGGACGACTTGAATACTACTTTCCTACAGTCGGACTCAATATTTACTAGAGAAACCACAATATAAATAACCAGTCAAATAGGCAGTTAAAAATAAACATCCCTGTGTGTGTGTCGATTCCCAGAGACACAGGTTGTGAGAAGAGTGCAAAACGCATTTTCTCCATTCTAATTATACACCGCCGTTGAACCCAAACAGGATAAAATATACTGGGCGAGCAAAAACGTGTGTTACCTCCAAAACTGTAACGCATGAAAATTGTTTGAATCTGTGAATCAAAATGAAGGAAGGAAGGCTACTTTTTAAGTAGCCTCGAATATGACAGTCATTCGTTTGACGTTTGACATTTATTGGTGTTTTTAGAAAACGTAATTTTAGAACTTAAGCTTTCTTTGTACAAAAATAGTGTTAATATTCACTAGATACAACGTTAAACATGGTGTCAAACTGAAGAAACACAACATATAATTCACAATCACATTCATGAATGCACATACATATATGCATTCGAAAGAAAAATGGACTTTGGCAACGTTACCAAAAAATATTAGTTGGAATTTCACTTTAGTACTTCGTTGGCCATTGTATTTCTCCAGTTCAACACAAGTGTTAGGCTAATAGTATTACCTGTAATTCTGTGCATCTATTTTCTCTACAGCAAACACATTTCACCTGTAAAGCACCCAAAAAATGAAAACACATGCGAAAGTGAATCAATAAAAGGTTGGTTTTGTGCTAGTGAAGGAGTTCACGGTAAGGTTTTTCGGTAGGACAATTATTAGAAAACATTTCCAAAAGGTTTCACAGTCAATAAATGTGTATTGAACATATATTTCAGTATACAATTTGTCAAGAAAGTAACGGAAATTTATCATTTAGAAAGCCCGCGCCAAGGGACTGTCAAAATAATTTTTGTAGCTAGGTTGGAACAACTGTCTTCCCTACTCACGTGGAGTTTGAGCTCTACCCATCAATTAGTTTGTTTACAGTACTCAATTTGTTAATTAACCTCAAAGGTGTTCTGCAGCTTTGGCAATGGAAAAAATATCGAACAAAGAATTTGTATTAATTTTTCCATTGCAAATGGAAGTCCGTGACTTAATGCGCTGAAAATGTTGCATAAGAGATGCAGTGGAAGATTTGAGTCGCTCTGGTCGGTCATCAGCATCTTCAATTTAACTTTACATCGATAAAGTGAAGAAATTGGTGACTGAAAACCATGGTTTAAGTCTGAGAGTGGCAGCCGCCGAAATTTTAACACCTAACGAATCAATTCCATATAATTTTAAACGATTTTTTGAGCATGAAATCCGTTGCCGATCGACTAGCGCCAAGAGACCCGGATTTTCTGCAACAACTCAATCATGTAAAGGTCGCCAAAGAAATGTTAGAACGAGCCAATTCCGAACCAATATCAATAAAACGTATTGTAACTGGTGATGAGACATGGGTTCACGAATCTGATATACAAACCAGACAAAAAACTTCGGACCTGCGCCTTCCAACTGGGCCTGAACTGAAAAAAGCTCGTCAAAGTTGAGCAAAAGTGGAGATGATGATGTCAACAGTTGTTTAACACTCTCAATTCTTGCCAGAAGGTCAGACATTCATTGAAGAATATTATCTGAGCATTTGAGAGAGCAAATTCGTCGAAGAAGACCAAATATGTGGGAAGAAAACTCATGGATTTGTATCTCGATATCTCACTATCTCACGAGGCTCTCACTATAAGCGGGTTTCTGGTCAAAAACTCTAACAACCACCGTATTCACCTGATATGGCTCCGGCCGATTATTTCTTTCCCTAAAACTCCAGTTACCACTTCGAGGCACCAGTTTTCAGTCAATAGTCGCCATAAAAAAGAATTCGCAGCGAGTACACGAGTCGATTAATGTAACTGGTGAAAGTGGCGATCTGTTCACAGCATTCTAGTAGTTCCATGATTACTTCTATAGGCGAGTTCGTTCTTTCTTCCAGGTCCTCGTCTTCGAATAGCTTCCTCTGTATGATCTGAAGTGCTTCTTCGACAGGAGCGTTGGCGTAATGGTGTAACTAATGAAATTCACCATGAAACAATGTCAACTACTTTTAAACAACCTATCATTGATTTTTCTTTGCCAATAAAAACTCGAAATTGAAGGCAACATTCCATTTTTTATTACCGACAAAAAACAACAAAGATAACTTTCGGAGTAATACATTTTTTACATTAATGAATTAAAGTTCTAGTGTTGCCAAAAAATTTATGTTAAAAAATGCATTTTTTCAATTATTTGTTAGTTATTAATATGCTTATACTTAGATACTTAAGTTGAGTTTTCTTTGTCATCATTTCTGTCGTTAAGTTTTACCTTGCAAGTAAATAAAACTGAGTAATTATCATTCTGTGTTTTCTTCTTCAACTTATCACAGCAATAGTAACAACAATTAGGTAACCATTGGCTGTCGCGGGCCAGATTGATGACAGCGGGCCGTAGTTTGGAGACCTCAGAACTAGACAATTGTTTTTAACAGGTGAAATAAATGAATTATTGGTGATTGTGAAGTTTACGATATAACTTCTACTTTCTTCAAAGTTCAACCAAAAGTGTTTGGAACACTATGGCGCCACCTAGAGGCCACCTCGAAAAATACATTGTTACGAATATTAGACAACTACTTCCACATCAACCGAAAATATTACAAAAATCTCTTCGGCCTATTTTATTTGAAAACCTTATTAAAAAAAAATGTTCAAGCTGTTAGAAGTGTCAAGCAAAAAGCACAAGAACCGAAGCGGCGACAACAAGCAAGCAAACTTACTTCCGCAGCGACCCTTTCGCAATTGACCCTCTCCTTGTCCCTCTCACGCAACTGCCCGACCAACGCCTCCATTTTCTTCTGCGCCTCGTCTCTCTCCTGTTCTCGTTCGGCGGCCTGTTCCTCCAAGAATTTTTGGGTCGTCCTGTACTTCTTGTCGGCAGCTTCGATCTGTTTTACAAAGCAAACGGAAAATTCAACACAGAGCAGCGAAGCTAAGCTAAAAGGTTCAATAATAATCACCAGCTGGGTGGTTTTTCTTACCAAACCTCACCATATTGAGTAATAATAATATCGTCCGAAAAGAGGAGGAAAAATTAATTGCATATCCAAATTTTCTGTTCAACTCCACAGCCTCTATTCAGACCATTCATTTAAGATGATTGTTATGATTGCTAGAGACCTTGGTTTAATTTTGGAGTGTCTATATGACAAAATGGTACTGGATGGATGAAGCCTGTAAAGTCGTCAGGAGTTCAGATCCCTTTCTCTGCTTAGTTCCCGACCATAAGAGAACAGGAAGTGGAGCATTTCTCATTGGGGTAGCTACCCAAGAGGCTGATCAGGCTCCGTTGAGTTTTCGACACTAAACGAAGTGATCACAACTCCGTTACAGAGTGGGAACCTGTTCATCAAAAACCGCACATAAAAGCCGCAGAGATCACATCACTCTTGAGGCAATACAAGGATAAGCCAATGCAAGAGGCCTTCTTCAGCAACATTGAAGACCTTGGCTCATTGAAGCTCCTGATCTTTGCTCTCCTCAGATGGAGTGGGCTGAAGTCGGAAATTGAGGGGTTCATCGTGACCTGACATGATGGTGTTTCCGACTGTAATCGCGCGATAAATGTAGAGGCAAAACGGAAGCGAAGCTAAGCTAAAAGTTTCAATAACTGTTAGTTGGGATGTTGTTTTTAGTAATAATAATAATATCGTCCGAGAAGGAGGTTGCGTTAATGGCCATGGTACGATTGCGCACGGCTGGTGTAAACCTCGAAGTAGGAATGGGTCAATTGAGGCTGGGCCTGTGGAGGGAAGCGCTTACTGCGCAACCTCTGCTGCAGGCAGAGCGATGCAATTGATGCAAGCGATGCAATTGAACCCAGGTTTGTGTTTAATAAACTCTACAAAATAAAAGTTAAGCAGAACATAGAGTCAGATGATACAAATGCAATACGTATTTATATAGACAGCAGACAAGCCCTATTGCCTTGAACAGACAACGTATAACCTCAGGGCTAGTAGTAGAGTGCCACCAAGATTTAGCCAAAGCTTCGGTAGATAATAACATTATCCTGAGGTGGGTTAAAGGGCACGACAGGAGTAAAGGTAATCACATTGCCGACTCTTTAGCCAAGGAAGTGACTGGACTAAGAATTTTAGGACCCATTGGCACCCACGGCCTGATGACTGATGACGACAATTGCGGAACTAGTCAAATGTTACACCCATGTTCAATCCTTAAAGAGATGGGATGAAATCAAAGGATAAAATCTTCCCAGGATCACCTTGGGCGACCCTGGGAAGCTGGCGCCGAAGAAATATCTGGCAGTGACCAGGAAAAATCTACGCCCAACAGTAGTATTTCTGACTGGCCACTGTCAACTAAGGAAACACCTCCATAATATGGGGCTAGTGGACACACCTCTATGCAGGATGTGTGAACAGGAAGATGAGACTGGCAAGCATGTCCTGTGCGAGTGCCCGGAGTTATCGTCAATAAGAGAGTGTGTGTTCGGCGAATCTTGGCCTACACCTGCCGATATTAAGGAGATGTCTCCCAGTGATCTGTCTACCTTACTGGAAAGGACAGGATGGACGATGACCTAGGAGGGCAACTCCTCGGGAGGAAGTACAATGGGTCACATGTGGCCCAAATACTGTGGGCTTACACTCACCCTCCCTACTCTACAAATACAGAATATCGTCCGAGAAGAGGAGGAAAAACGGGCGAAAGTAATATAGCTACAAAGGTTCTAAGCAATTCCTTATGGAAAAACGTGTGCAAATTTGAGCAAGTCCATTCTAGCGATTTCACGACCTTCGACCTTCAAAGCCCACTTCAGTGAAGTGAAGTGTTCCAGAAGTCGCCTTGTTGCCGTACTGATTTTTATTTCCCGCTGTACGCGCGGTAGCTTCTGATTGGTCGACTGGGTGACGGCAGAAGTGGGAGCGACTACGTCACATGTCTCTTTTCCACTCACTAACGCCTCTCTCTGAAATACTTACCAACGACGAGACACGTGTGACCTTGAAGTGCGCTCTGAAGGTCGTAAGGTCGCCAGAATGGATCTGTTCAAATATGCACGCGTTTTTCCATAAGGGATGGCTTAGAACTCTTGTAGCTATATTACTGGTGAAATATCGAAATTTTCTCTTCAAATTCCGCAGCTTCTATCCAGACCACTCTGTTAAGATGGTTGTTTTGTTTATTGCAGTCCTTCGTGGAATGATGTTCACTCTACTCTCAGATTTCAAGAGAATGCCGGCTTTCCGCAATAAGGCAGACATCTTGGCCGAACAAATACAGAAAGCCGTCATTCTTGGCTCACTGCGTCTGCTGAGGGCACATGCTTCTTGGACTCAATGATCACTTAGCATCTTAAACTTCGGAAAAAATAATAAAAATCGATAATGACCTGTTGTGAATTGGAGACTTCCTAAGAAACGTCCTTCCGACTGTCACCAATATTATCTTAGAGCAGAGGATTCGTTTTCTTGTCAACAGTGAGCCTTGATTGGAATTTTGTCAAAGGGTGAATTCTTCCTTAGCCTCCTTTTCACAAGCTTTGATTCAATTTGCAATGTCCGGATGTATGTATGTTAGTATGGGTCAAATTTTGTAACTGAATTTTGAAGCAGTTATGCCCAAAAGTTTGAGCTGAAATTTTGCATACAAATCAAGTTTACATGACAATGCATGGTTATCCAACATGACAGACCGCTCAAGACTAGTTTGTTTTCATGCACCCCCATGATATGAATATCAAACGAAATAGTTTACTGCTTACTGGAAAGAATACAAAAAATAACAAAGAATGTAAACTTTCACGACCGGAGATAAACTGTGTGAAAGCTACTTTCCGGGTTTTTTAGCCGTGGTGTGAAGGAAACAAAAAATAATTAGTCCCAAGACGGGACTAGTTTTTTATGCACAGGTTTTGCTGAAAAAAATTAGGAAAATAAAATGACCCCATTTTCAATTGAATATAGTGGACTATGACACAGCCGTAATATCCAGTCATCGGAGATATATCAAACCCGGAAAATAGTGACAATGGTGGTCTATGTTTTGTATGCACCCCCATGGTATGGACATCTAAACGGGTTCAAGAGGAAAATCAAAATGGCAAAAAACAAGTAATCTCCATATCAATTTGAAATAGCCATAATTCGGAAAAGGTTGGGGATATTTTGGTGGTACTTCAAAGGTACTTGAACTGATATGCAACAATGACACATTCATTAACTTAAATGTATCATAAAGAACGTGTAATGTGATACATTGACGACTTACATCTAGTGGAAAACCAGGGCCCAAACAACGCATTCAAGATTCAACACTAGATAGCGCTGTTTCGACCCGAAGTGGGTTTCATCAGTGGTACTAGGCTGAGGAAGCTTGCACGTTTGTGGGTAGGCCTAGCACCACTGATGATACCTATGGCAGGTCGAAATAATGCTGCTTGATGCACAATCATAAATGTGTTGTGTTTAGGCTCTGGTTTTCCAGTAGTTGCCTTGCGGTTTAGGCAGCAGTGAAAGAACTGATGATATGTCCGAAATTTAACCCATTAGCCAGAATTAGCTTGCTTGCTCGAGGAGGAAACAAATTATAACTCACCTTACGAATAAAAATGATTAGAGCAAAAACCCGACTATTTCAATTATTAAAATAAAAAAGAAAAACACCACAGAAAAATGAAAATAGATATGGGCATCTACTTGGACGAGCATCAACTTACTTATATCAAATAAGTAATGGAAACAAAAAATCAACATTATTAAAATATGAAAAACTTTAAACTGATATACCTACAATTAATGAACTGAGACTAATGGAAATACTGTCTCTAGTTTCAGATTAGCTGCATACTTCCAAACTTCCATGTCCGTTATTATTCCGTTTTGTACAAAAAAAAATTGTTCACAATTTCAATTGGGTTGTGGCTAATATCCCGACCATACGGTACAAAATATTTTTTTTATTACAACTCCAGTTATAATAAACTGGATGCATATTATAAGTTTAGATGGGAGATGTGAAGCTGAAGTGTGGGTACAGAACTTACATTCACAAAAAAACTGTGATCTTTTGTGCGAAAATAATGTATTAAAAAATCGTCTAAAGAGAACATCGACCTTGGACAGATGAGCTTTTGAGCACACGGAATTTCAAACGGTATTTCAAGTAACAAATGAACTATTTTCGTCAATAGTAATGAAATGACTTTCAAATACATTTGGTGCATCCCGTGAAGACCAGATTATGTGTGGTTTCAATATGAGGACCATGGAGTGAGCGACATCTAGATTCTATAATTTGAATGTCAAACTCAGGAAAACATTATTGTCACAAGAAACACTACAAACACTCAAAAATGAAGCTGAATTTATAAACGCTTGATTAGCAAGTAACGATTAACAAGTGACATTTATCAATTATAAGTTGAACTTCATATTTTCTGGTGGATATGTTTATGCAAAAAAACTCAGTTATCAAGTAATAAGTAAACGTTGATAAACTTTTAACTTTCTTATTTTAAATGCATCAGTTTCCTCACTAGTTCACGTCTATTGCGCAAATAATCGCTGAGGGATAACCTAACCTAAAAAATTTCCAAATTTCTAATCACCTTCAATCGTGTGTAAAATATTTCAGTAATTTCCGGGTCATTCTCCATATTAATTATCTCAGATCAATGTACCATAATCCCGTCTTTACCTCTATTGTGCTTTTCGTTGGTAGTAACCTCTTTTACCACAATTTCGTCAACCCACGATCTTCAATATCACACATATGAGCATGAAACGAAAAATAAACACAAGATCAAATAGTGAATAAATCTGTTGGGTGCAGTATCGCTGAGAGCGAGGTCAGTGCATCCGTCTGAGGAAATCCCAAAACTCATGTAACAGGTATGGCATAAGGTTTGTTCTGGTTCAACAAAATTCGGGTTCTAGGACGTCAGAATTATGCGCAGTTGATATAGAGCGTTCTGGTTTCGACCGCGAAATGATCCTAAACTGTTTTGAACCGTCCCGAATCGTTCTTGCTCTCGAGGCTGAACTGTTGAGAACTGTTCCAGTTGTTCATGCGCATTCATGTGGAAATTTGTTTGGGATATTTGCTAGGATGTTTTTTCATTTATTTGATTTGAATAATTGATGATTGAGGGTAGATAACATTTGAACTGAATATAAGGATACGCTACATAACAAAATGTACATGATCAATAGTATTTTCTCGCCTTCATCTCTTCATATATATACGATAGGTGGCACAGTGGTCTCCTCAACAGCGTTCTGGTTTAAATAAGTGTCCGAGACTATCTCGGACTGTGAGATTTTTTGTTTGTACGCACCATGTCTTGCGCAGTTTCCAACAACACAGTTTCGGATGTTAGAACCGAACAAACCTTTTATAGCGGGAGAGCTAGTATATGTCAATGNATAAGACTATCATTCAACCTCATTTTGAATATTGCCCTACATTACTATACTGCTTTGATCTGAATAAAATATCCCAATTACAAAAGCTACAAAATCGAGCAATGAGAATAGTATTGCGATGTAGTAGGTCAACTCCTATATCATTTATGCTGGAAACTTTACAGTTATTTCTGTGGAGCGAAGACTGACTTAACTATGATCTATATCTATAAAATGATACATGAACTGACTCCAACATACATGGGTAAGTTAATTATAACTGTAAACCAAATACACACATACAATACTAGAGGCCAGAATCATTTATATGTAAACACGCAGAGTTTACATATAAATGATTCATTCAGTACAATAGTTTACCACAATATGTTAAAAAGTCGAGAAGTATAGCAGAATTCAAACATAATTTGATTTTGTATTATAATAAAAAAAAAATCCACCATTATTCTATACTGTATTCTATTCTATACTGTATATTTATACTCAAATTTATTATATATCCTTATACTTACATTTATGATAAGTTATATTTATTGCAAAATAAGTATGTTAACCATTTTATTTTTTGTAAATTAGGATTGTCCTACTTAAATGAACAACAGTAGACGTTCAGGACAGTGGACGGACATCAATGAGCCACCCAAGCACTTCCCAAAAGACTATGGTTACTGTATGGTGGTTAGCGGCTGGTGTAATTTACTCAACTTTCTGAGACCGAGCCAAACCATCACAGCAGAGCCCTATTTTGAGGAAATCGATGAAATGTACCGAAAATTGAGACAGCAAACAGAAGAGGCCCGATCCTGCTCCACGACAACGCCCGTCCGCACGTTTCACAAATCACTGTCCGAAAACTAAACGAATTGAGCATCGAAATTTTGCCTCACCCACCATACTCTCCAGACCCCTCACCAACCGACTATCATTTTTTCAAACACCTTGATAACTCTCTCACCGGTAAAACTTTCAGCTCGTGTAATCGGCTTTGTGGATGAACCCGTACATAAAGTGTATGAAAAGACCCAATTTGTTTTATGTGTAAAATAATAAAAAAATTGTTCAAAACTAGTAGGCCCATTCTTACAGTGTCATATTGAGATCATCCTCAAATTATCAATTGTAATACTACCTCCAGATGTACCACTTATAAAATTGTTTAATGAAATATGAACTGTACCAAAAAATTCGACTCACCTGTTGCTGCAGATCACGATTTTCCCGTTGGGATTCTTCTTTGATTCTCTCTCCAACGGCGCATAGTTCTTCGATGAGTTGGAGTAATGTAGGATCAGCACTAGCTCTTGATTGGGATAGCATACTTCTAGCTTTCTCTTGTAACTCGGACAAAATTGTCAACGCATCACCTTGATTGCAATTTAAAAAATCACTAGACGATTGATTCAAGTACAATCCTGATACACAAGATCGACAGTCACAAAGTTTACTTCTGATAAGATTTGTTTTGATTTGTACTATAAAAGGTGTACAAAACCGCAACACACTATATACAATAGCATTCTCTAGAAACATTTTTTATTGTTGAAACTATTTAAATAATAAAAACTATGTGAAAAATAAGTCAATAAATCAATAGATATAGTATTTTTATTGTAATACGATAAATAGTGGACACAGCCAAAGTCAAATCTTTCGAGAAATTAATTCTCATTTACCCCAAAAAAAGTGGGGGTATTGATTTTACCAATGATTGAAATTTCAAATTGAAATACAATGATGTTTCATCAACGACAAAGTTACAGTTGAAAATTACATACATTTTAGAAGAGTCTTTAAAGATAATCTTGATAAACAGCATTTACATATTTATTTTTATTAAACATTTTCGTGACGAATTTCAACTCAGCCAGCAGTTAAACGAATATTAGAGTGCATGTCTCAAGTAAGAAATAACTGAACTCCTAAACTTCTTGAAGACCGTGATATTTTTACTTCCTCGTTTAAACTTGGCTACAAAATTTTACTGTTTTAAACGAGGGAGCAGACTCACCCACAGTAGAATCCAGTTCAGCTTTTAAACTGGTTAGGCTGGTGCCTTTCAAATAAAAGTATTGTATCACATAACGCTGACCAATTTTCTCCATTTTCACAAAGTCACCGACAAGGTTCGCTATTGATGGCCGCCTTACAAATACTGAACAACGCAGCGTCTTCAAACTTGAAACATATGCTTTATAGATTGTGTACTTTCGAATACAGTGACATTTTTCGAAAAACTACCGCCATCTCTAGGTCAGGCGGGGTACTTCTGAGACCACCCTCGTAGAGTTATGGCTGTAAATTTACTGAACGACCAAACAGAATCGAAGTCTTCTGAATATTTTTTCTAATGTGGAAATTGGTATTCAGTTTATCACATAACTATTTAAGGTGTTTGCTGAAATTTTCTTTCTTTCACAATGCCTAAAATTTAAATCAGTTTTTATCTGAAGTCATGTAACATTATTGGTCATCCACTAGGTTGAAGGTCATATGATTCAGATTGTTATTACATAAAGAACAAATTGGTATTAGTTTATTACATGTTCACTTGACGTGTAGGTGAAATTTTATTTTATGATGTTTGAGAATTTTCATTAGTTTTTTACCTTAAAAAACGTACAAATCAAGTAGAATTCTGTCAGTATGAAAACGTTTAAAAATCTATTGTATGTGTTGTGGTTGTTTGCGGTTTTGTACACTGCCTAGTGAACATCTCACAACAAAGTTTCACTCGAATAAGTTATGACTTTTAATTAAGTATCAGACAATTCTACGACATGAATAAATTTGTGTTCTTTTATGATTTCCCTTTATTAGTATAAGACAGGGGTCTCCAAACTTTGAAGCCTTCGGGCCATAATGATTTTTTCAGTTTGTTCCAAGGGCCAATTTCTGCCCTTAACTATATTCCTAGACTAGGATAGTCGCAAAGTGCGTAACCTAAGCAAACTTACGCTTTTTTTGCATTTCAATTATTATTGTGTATTGTGACACTTAACGACATCTAGTGGCGAGTAGTGGTACTATGTACTATCTTTTTCAGCTAC